GGGGGGCGTGAGCCCCCCTCAGCCCCCGCGCGGTGCCCCGCCGAGCCCCCCGTGCCCCTGCCTCTCGCCGCCCCGTGGCATCCCTCCGGACCCCATGGAACCCCGCACTGCCCGGGTGTCCCTGCTGCCACCCCGTGACACAGACCCTTGGGGTGGGAGGGGGAGATGCTGGAGAGGAGCAGCTCGGGGGGAGCAGTGCAGCCCCTGCCCCTGTTTCCACCTCCGCAGGGTGAGGATTTGGCTGCACAGGCAGCTCAAAATCTATTTAATTCAGCGGTGAGAAACACCAGGACGTGCCGAGGCGCCACAAAACGCCGTCCATGACTCCCAGATAACGTTTTTCTCAGCTCGTGCACTGACCCCAGGAGGGGTTGATACGACCTGGGGTCCCCTTTTCGCGACACGAACAGGACTTTCTCCCGTTCTGGGGGTGATCTGAGCCCCCCGTGTTCACGCTGCGAGGGGTGGCCGGGACGGAAAGGCCGAGGAGCAGGAGACGCACGAGGCAGGCGCAGCTGCGTGAGAGCGATGCTTGTCCTCGCTGGGCAGTGTCGCACGGCCACCGCGGCCCCAGCCCGTCCCTGCATGGGGCTGGGGACAGATGACAGTGTCAGTGGGACAGCTGGACCGCCGGCCAACTTCTGCCCTCGTGGCTTCGCAGCCGGAGCCGAGCTTTCCCCACCAGCTGCAGGAAGCCAGGCTCTGTGACTCAGACGTTCATGGAGGGGCAGACAGCCCAGGGATGAAAGGCCAGCGTGGGACATCGTCCCTTACCCCCTTGGCGAGATCAGAGACCTCATGAGCTGGAGGGAGAACCAGCCCCCGCGGCATGGGGCCAGCATCCCCCGGCTAGGGGCGGCCAGCAAATGTGGGGAAAGCTGGAGCTTTCTGCCCAAAACCAGCTGTGAACCCAACATCTGTTTGATATCGGGAGACGCTCAGCTAACGGTCGAGCCAACGCTTGTCCCCGTTTCCTTTGGTAGAAGCAGAAAAGCTGAAGCGAGGTGAGGGAGAGGGGAGCTGCAGCGTGAGCTGCCGTTATCCCAGCTCCTCCCCAGGGAGTTTTTCCCTCCCCTCACCCAAAAAGTCTCTGCGTTGCCCGTTGTTGCTTGCAAACCCCTTGGGATTCCCTGCCTATGTCCCAAGCTGAGCGACAATCTGCCCTGGGTGCCCGACGTGATGCCACCCACTCCCAGAACGCAGTCACCTCATCACCCACCCACCCCGGATGGAAGCAGGCGCGATGTGCATCTGCTTTTGCCGACGGAAAGTGTGACGGATGCGCCGGCAGACCAATGGCTGGGGGTGCCGGGGTGTGCGTGGGGGGGAAAGGAATGCTCGCTGCGAGGAAAGAGCAGGGGGGGAAAAAAAAAGAGAAGAAGGAGCCTTATCAACGGCGTTGGAGCCCGAAGCGTGCGTCTTCCTGGGAGAAAGGGTTTTCTCCATCCCCAGGGATGAGGTTTTCCCCACAGCAGGAGACCTGGGGGCTCCTGGAGCTTCGTTTTGGGGGGCTGGCGTTGGGCTGGTGGTGCAGGGATGGGTTTAATCCCACCAAGCGCTGGGGCAGGGACACGAGCACGGCCAGCGGCCGCAGGCGACTGTCGGCAGCTCGTCAAGGGAACCTCCCGGGAAACGCGTTTTCTTTTCGTGAGGGTGTTATGAGGCAAAGGGGAGGAATAAAAAGAAGGTCCCACCTCGACGCTGAGCGCTGCGTCCCAGCTAGGACCAGCGTCACCACGGTGCCAGCGGATCTCGCGGGAGGTGGCTGGTGGCATCCCCATCCCACACCGACAGTGGAAAGATGCTGGTCCAGGGCTGAGCTGGAGGATGGAAGGGGGTGTGGGGGGGGTCTTCTCCCAGGGCATGGGGAGCTCTGGGCACCCGGCCCCGAGCACGGGCTCAGCCCCTGCACTCTCGGGGGGGCCGTGGGGTATTTCCACAGGGCTCCGAAGGGCGAATGCCCCGTCAGCCAGGCAGCCTGCAGAGGGAGAGGGCTGGACGCGTCCCGGCGGGTGCGGGAGGGGAGCCCAGCACGGGGAATCTCCTCACCCGGCGGTGGAAGGGCCGGGGCTGTCCGGTTCCCAGCAGCTGCCCTGCCCAGCTGGGAGCATCGCCACGGCCTCGGGGGTTCTCGCTCCGCGCTTTACTAATTAATGAAAGAAGTGATCGTGACGGGGTGTTTTGCTCTCCCCTTCTCCTCCCTGCGTGTTTATTTTGGTGACTTTTTTTTAGGAGGAAAGGCAGTCTCGTGGCCTGTAAGCTGGGCTGCGGGTTTGCGGGACGGGCTCTGTCTGGGCGCAGGGAGCACTGGCAGCAGTGGGAAAGCCAATATTTTTCAGCTGCTTTTAAAAAAGAATCATTTTTTAATTAGTGAATCCATTCCGGAGAAGTGTTGGAGTTTTACAATGTTGTAGCTGTTCTTGGTGTCTTGCCTAGACTTGGATGTTCTGGCCATAAGAAAATATTATTTATGGCCTTGCCGCTTGCAGCTCTTTTATATTATAATTTGGGAAAGGAAGTTGCTGTTCCCACCAGTGGACAAAGAATAGCAGAAACGAGGATTACGGACTTCTGAAGGAGGAAAAGAAATAAAAATTACGAGACAAGACCAAAACAGACCACGGAGCCAGGCTCAAATCGCCGCGCTCCAGAACCGGCTCATCCCGGCGTCACCAGCGATCGGGTCGGATGCTGTCAGCGAGCCGAAGGCCGGCGCGGCGGCGATCCCCTCGGTACTCCCCTGCGCGGCGTTACATGTGTGCCTAAACATTTGCAGAGCAGGCTTTTTATTCCCGGGCTAACGCACGCTTGTTTGCTCATGCCTTACTCAGCCTAAACTCCTATTGAACTCAATTAAGGCTGTCATCTCCAGGAGCAGGCCATGTCATTTTTGCCCAAGTAAGGGATGAGTAACGAGTGCTCCGCAAGGCCCTTGGAGAATAGCAGCCATTTTGTTGCGGATTTTGGTCCAGATTTCTTAAAAGTTAGCAGCAGGCCAAGGGTGGAAGAATGCGATACGGCTTGATTAATCACACACGATCGCTG